GGGATGGTCACGCCGCAATCCCTTCTCCTCCATTCTCCTCTCGGGATCTTGGGCACGCACGCACACGCGCCCGGCGTGAGTTTTAAGCCACCGGGTCCAGGACACGAACCGCGGTCGACTACGTGGGAGTCCAGCGACATAGCCATTACGCTAACTGCTGGTTCCCCAATCATCTATTTTTGGACATTTGGGTTGATCCTATGTCCTAGCAATTGTAAATAATGCTGAAATATACTTGATGTGTAAGTGTTTTTCCAACTGAGGGCTTTTCTATCCTTTGGGTAAATACCAAAGAGTGGAATTACTGGGTCGTGTGGTAGTTCTGTTGGTAGGTTTCTGTGGAATCTCCATATCATACTCCAAAGTGGTTGTATTAATTTGCATTTCCACCAACAGGTAGGAGAGTTCCCTTTTCACCACAGCCTTGCCAGTGCTTACCATTATTTATTTATTTAATTTTAACCATTCCGATTGGGGTTAAGTGGTATCTCATTGTGGTTTTGATTTGCATTTCCTTTATGATAAGAGATGTCAAGCATGTTTTTATATGCTTTTGGGCTGTTCATATATCTTCTTCAGAGAATCATCTATTCAGTTCACTTTCCCATCTTTTAATGGGATTGTGTGTGTGTGTGTGTGTGTGTGTGTGTGTGTGTGTGTGTGCATAAGCTACTTGAGTTTCCTGTATCTTCTGGTTATCAGTCCCTTATATCTGAGGTATAGTTTGCAAATATGTCCTCCTACTTTGAGGGTTATCTTCTCACTCTACTTATTGTTTCTTTTGCTGTGCAGAAGCTTCTCAGCCTAATGTAGTCCCATTTGTCTATTTTTAGGACTATTGCCTGTGCTTTGGAGGTCTTCTTTAAGAAGTCCTTGCCTACTCCAAAGTCTCCAAGAGTTTTCCTGTGTTTTTCCTCCAAACATTTTTATAGTTCAAGGTTTTATTTTTAGATCTTCAATCCATTTGGAGTTAATTTTTGTTAGTGCTGAGAGATAAGGATCCAGTTTCATTCTTCTGCAGATGGATATCCAGTTCTTCCAGTACCATTTGCTGAAGAGATTTTCTTTTTCTCACTGAATTGCCTTGTGCCTTTTGTCAAGGATAAATTGGCTGTATGTTTTGAGGTTATTTGGGGATTCTCAATTCTCTTCCACTGGTCTACCTGCCTGATTTTGTGCCAATACCATGCTGTTTTAATTAACACAGCTTTGTAATATGTTTTGAGGTGGGGAGGTGAGATGCCTCCTACTTTATTCCCCTTGCATAGTATTGCTTTGGATGATGATGGTGATGCATGCCATTTTATGCTTCCAGAAAAATTTTGTAATTGCTTTTTTATTTCTGCTTCTGTGAGAAATATCTCTAGTAGTTTGATTGGGATTAAATTAATTTGTAGATTTATTTGGGTAGGACTGACATCTTGATTATATTAATTCTTCCAATCCAGAAACATGGGATGTTTTTCCACTTTTTGTATAATTTTTAATTTAATTTCTTTCTAGTGTTTCATAGTTTTCCTTGTAGAGATCTTTGGTGTCTTTGGTAAGGTTTATTCCTAGATATCTTATTGGTTTTGTGGCTATTGTAAATAGGATTTCTTTCTTCAGTTCTGTCTCAGTTTGTCCGTTGTTGGTGTATAAAATTGCTATAGATCTTTGTATGTTGATTTTGTATCCTACCACTTTACTATATTCATTTATCACTTTTAGGAGTTTTTCTTTTGCATATTCTTTTGGATTTTCTATGTATAGCATCATATCATCTGCAAATAGAGATAACTTTGTTTCTTCCTTTCCTATTTAGATGCCTTTTACTTTACTCTCTTGTCTAATTGCATTGGCTAAAACTTCCAGCACTACGTTAAAAAACAGTGGAGAAAGTGGGCAGCCTTTTCTTTTTCCAGTTTTTAGTAGAAAAGCTTTCAGCTTTTCCCCATTCAGTATGATGTTAGCTATGAGTTTTTCATAGATGGCTTTTATTGTGTTAAGGGATGTCCCTTCTATGACGATTTTGCTGAGAGTCTTTAACCATGAAGAGATGTTGTTATTTTATCAAATGCTTTTTCTCCAACAATTGATATGGTCATATGGTCTTTATCTTTCCTTTTGTTAATGTGATGTATTACATTTATTGTTTTGCATATGTTGAACCATTCTTGCAAACCTGGAATAAAGCCTACTTGGTCATGATGTATGATATGTTTAACATGTTGTTGAATATTATTGCTAGTATCTTGTTGAGAATTTTTGCATTGTATTCATCAGGGATTAAAAAGTTCAGATTTTTAAAAAGTAATTCACCCAGTTTAAAGATTCTTATTTTGAAATGATTTTTCTGGAGTTAATTTGGACTATAAGGCACTTGGAAGCCCCATAGACCTAGTCCCCTCCTGGTCGTCTTGCCCTGTGAACTGATTCCCACTGTTACACTGCTGTCCTTTTCCCGCAATGCTTCCCCTGTCTAGACCCCCAGGTGCTCCCCTGGGCTCACCTCCACCCTCCATGCCTCACCTCTTTAGAGAATCTGACTAGACCACTGGTTTGTCTCTATCACTGCCACATTCAGGAGCTTTCGAGAATGTCACTGCTACTCTCCAGGGTAGGGAGGCATCCAAGAAGGAGACCCCAGGAGGAAGGAAAAGCTGGGTGGCCCTTCCTTGAGCTTCCATCACTGAGCAACCCCTACCTGGAGTCCTGAAGCCCTTGTCTGGCCCTTGACCTGAGCACAGAGCTGATGAGGGGAGCACAGGGACCCAGAAGAGACCAGCATGGGTGAGGTAAAACAGTCATGCTCCTCTGAAAACACACCTGGGGAGCCATGGGTATTACTCCAGAGAACTCGCCATACCTTGACGTCTCAGACATTTCCCTAGATAACCCCAAAAAGTATCTATGCTGATTGAAGAACAGGACAATGTCAAATACTCTCTTGTTACCTCTGTCCAATAGCTTACCCATTGTCTTCCAGAAAGTGCCTGATGAGAGCCCACAAAGTAACGAAAACAGCTGGAGAACCTGAGGATTAACAACAAAGGGAGAAAAGGAGAAAGGTCTCGATTTTCAACACACATTTGATGACCTGGACAACTGATTACCTTAACCAAGGTACTGAGCAGGTGCCAAAGTTTGGGTTCCATGGAAAACTCTTTGCCATCTTGTGAAAATGTACAGTAATGTGCTTCAAGGGTGAGGCAGGGCCAGAAAGCCACCAGGTGTTAGAGGACTCATGGGAGCCTGCGACAGACTCCAGAGGCCTTATGCCGACAAGGAGAGAGGGCACTGGGACCCCCTTCTTGAACTAGAATATGCCTGACAGTGGGGAGGGGGGTAGTGAGTGCACACAGGCTGTGGGAGAAGCATCAGTTTTATTCAAATATTGGCTTATAAAAGGCTTAGTCATTTAACTAATAAAATAAGCCACCACTGTCAATAGTTAAACAAAAACTCATTTTGGATTAGAGAAGAGAAAGTGCACATTTAAACGATAAACCACAAGAACATTTCCTGACTTCTGTTTTTAAACTTACACGTTTATCTCTAGTTCCCCTTGAAGCCCCTCCAAGATGATAGTAAAGACATAGAAGAGGCACAAGCCCGTAAGCACAAAGACCGGAAGGGAAGGGTAGTGTGGATGAGCAATGCCAACACATTTGGGGACACGGAGCACTGGCAGAGGAGTGGAATCTGATGTCCTGAGCCAAGAAAACAGAAATACAAGTGCTGCAAGGAGTGACACCACACGGAGAGCACCAAGAGCATTCAGGGACTCGGGGCACAGGGTACCTACCCTAGGAGGCAGGTGTTAGGGTGGGCTGGAGCAGCAGGTTGTTTTGGAAGTTTGGATAAGAGGAAACCACACAGGGCTAGCCAGTGGTGTGGTGGTGAAACATACATTCTGAGAAGCTGACTCACATGGGAAGGTTCCTGGTTCAAGTCTGGAAGCCTCCCTGAGTACATCAGGTGCACACGTGCCCTGATCCAGGGTTGATGAAGGCTAGGGGTGGATCATGGCTTCAGGGCCTCATTTTCTCTCTCTTTCTCTATCTCTCTATCTCTAGCTCTCTCACTGATGAAGAAATAAATAAATAAACTTTAAAAATAAAAGAACTAGATAACTACAGATGGCCAACACCATCCTCAGGAGACCAAATAGTGTATCTCCAGCGGAGCTCATTCTTGGGAGGGACAAGCCAAGAGATAGAGGGAGGGGTGCTCAGCTGCACACAGGAATGAAGTGACCATCTCCACCTGTGTTGTCCAAAATGGTGGCCACTCGCCTCACATGGCTACTGAGCAGCTGACACGCGTCTGGCCTTGGTTGAAATGTGCTGTTGGTGCAAAATAGATACCAGATTTTGAAGATTTCGTATGAATAAAAGAAGGTGCACTATCTCTTCAATATTTATACCACTTATATTTACATAGGAATGATACTATTTTGGTTATGGTGGGTAAAATAGAATCAATGATTGAACTTATTTTCACCTGTTTCTTTTTTGTCATGTCTCCTAGAAAATTTTAAGTCGTCTGTGTGGTTCGCATTCAGTTTCTAATGGACGTGCTCATCAACACTCTGGACAGCAAGAGCTTGATTTTCAGAACCCTAGCAGCCAGGATTCTACCCCTCACCTCAGCCTGGAGATGAAAGGATTCTTCTCTGAAGGAAGTGAACAACTCGGGACAAAGGGTCTATAGATAGGGATGCTGAGGACACAGTGGTCACCTCCAGTCTCCCTTAAGAGAGGATCCCTCCTCCCCCACAGAGCCTTCATCAGCTCTGAAGCGACTCATTCTTAAATATGAACATATGCCCAAAGTCAGCAACATCTGATAGGGACCAAAACAATCAGAGACAAGGAACTTAGAGGAGAACAAGACCACAGAGAGGGCAGGCGGAGACTGAACAACACAACTCAAGGGAGCAGCATCAGAGAGAGAAGAGAAATGATAGCATCTTTGAGGCTGGAACAGGGCACTGGGAGAGGCAAAGAGGGCTTAAGATAGCATCTTCGAGGCAGCAACAGGGCACTGGGAGAGGCAAAGAGGGCTTAGAAATGGAGTACGTGAAAACCAAAACAAACAGTTCAACAGATAGGGTAGAATATACAGACTAGGAATTTTCCAGAAGGCAGAACAAAAAAATAGAGGCATGAGAAATGTGTGTGTGTGGGGAGGTGGATTAGAAAATCAGAGGCAGATCCCTCTACATGCACCATCTGATTAAAAGGAACTTTAGAATGGAGGATAAATAAAAGCTGGAGGGGGAAAAATGATTAAATAGATGATATAAAAACATGTGGAGAAATGAAAGACTTGAGTTTCCCATGAAAGGGCCATGATGTGTCAGCAAAATGAACCAAAACAGACCCACATCAAAGCACATCCCTGTGACATTGCACAACCAACAGAAGCTCCCGTATATATGAAAAGATGCGTAAAAAGGCTTGGGAAGCAAAAATGGCCTGGCACTTCTCATAGTACCAGATGCCAAAACCTAAGGCCTTCAGGAGCCACGTGGTGCCACAGTGGTAACACAACTGGACCCACAGGGGAAGGTACTGGCTTCACATCCCAGGACCTCTCTGAGCATACCAGGCATGCGCCTGTGATCTGGGCCAGCTGAGACTTGGAGTGGACAGCAGCATGAAGACCTTGTTGGGGAGTGCCTGTCATTCTCTCTTTGAAGAAAAATAAATTTAAAACACAAAGCAAAACCACAAGACCTTCAAACTTTGCATAAATGTTTCATGCTCATTAAAAGACAAATTAGGTGTGAAAGTTAAACCAAGATATTTTCAAATATGGAATGTAACAATGGTCCTCCCAGTCACTCTTCATTAAAAAGATACTGGGGAACCAGCAGTTAGCATAATGGCTATGTCGCTGGACTCCCATGTAGTCGACTGCAGTTCGCATCCCGGACCCGGTGGCTTAGAACTCACACTGGGCACGTGTGCGTGTGTGCCCAAGATCCCGAGAGGAGAATGGAGGAGAAGGGATTGCGACGTGACCATCCCCCCTGGGGGTGATTTCTCGCTTTCTGTCTCTATGTCTCTCTCTATCTGTCCGGCGAGCGCACGCGCCCTATAGCAAAAACCTCTCCAAAATAAAATAAAATAAATAAGAAGCGATTCTTTTTGCAAAGTTTTATGGATGGTGCATACTCACTGAAGCAACCTATCTCTGTGGAACCATTACAAACTGATGCAGGGGTCATCACCTTTGCATGAGAAAGGCTTCTCGCAGAGGGAGGGGCTTTTTAGGCCTTCTAAAACCCCTTCTCCGGTGCCTCACAGGCAGACAAATCATGAAGGAAGTCACCACTGTTGCTCAATACCCAGTATCCAGCATGGACCCTGGCATATAGTAACTGCTCCGTAAATATCTGAGGGAAAACAAAAGCTGTCACTGTTTTACTTACAATAATGTAACCTCTTAAAAACCTGTTTCAGGGAACCAGCAGTTAGCGTAATGGCTATGTCGCTGGACTCCCACGTAGTCGACTGCAGTTCGTGTCCCGGACCCGGTGGCTTAAAACTCACGCCGGGCGCGTGTGTGTGCGTGCCCAAGATCCCGAGAGGAGAATGGAGGAGAAGGGATTGCGGCGTGACCATCCCCCCGGGGGGTGATTTCTCGCTTTCTGTCTCTATGTCTCTCTCTGTCTGTCTGGCGAGCGCACGTGCCCTGCAGTGAAAATCTCTCCAAAAAAAAACCTGTTTCAGAGGCCCAGCTGCGGTAGTATGTGCTGGATGCTGCTACTTGTCAAGCTGAGGCCGCGTGGGAGGCACTGGGTTTGATTCCAGGCCCAGCCTAAAATGGTAGGCATGGCAGGGTGGTGCATACCTATGATCCCAGCTACATGGGAGGCTGAAGCAAGAAGATCATCATATAGCAAGAAGCTATCTAAACAAATAAGCAAACAATTACACCACACAAACAACAACAACAATAAAAAAATCTGTGGAAGGGACAGTCCTGTAGACTGGTGCTTAAGAGAGCCAGATCCCACATGGCTGACTGTGGTTTGAATCTAGGCTCCATCAGCTTGTAAATATGCCAGGCATTTGTGTGTGCATGCCCCAAATCCTGACAGGATGTATAAATAGAGCAGAAGGATTACAGCATGCCCACCCTCCGTTGAGGGGTGCTTTCTTCTTCCCTCTTTTTCTTTCTGTCTCTCCATCTCCCCAGTGAGCACACATGGCCTCTGACAATTTAAAACAAAAACAACAACAACAACAACAACAAAAAACTGTGGCAGAGGTATTATCATAATGCAACTTTTTCTCCCTACTAGACTACAAATTCCTTGGTTAATAAAACTAGTACTTTTTTCTTTTCTTTTGCTAGTAGTTTTGTAATCTCTGAGCACCAAGAAGTGCTCAAAGAATGTGATCTCGATATATATGGGGAAACTGCCTATTTTTTTTCCTTTACATTTATTTACTTCCTCCATGAGTGAAAGAGACAGCACCCCTATCAGGGTCTTGGCACTGCAATCCACCCCAGCCTCCACGGATGCCAGAAATGAGTAAGCACATGCAGATGTACTCAGGGAGGTCTTCAGACAGGAACTCGGCACCATCCCCTGTAGATCGCCCTCACAGAGTGTTGTGTTTTACTGCTGCACCACCACCTGGCCCTCAGCTGCCCATTTTCATCCTGCTTAATCCTGGCAGATTTAGGATTCAGAGTTCAGTGCATGGGACTTCAGCTTGGGTGCTCTGGGGGCAGAGTCACCTGCACAAGACAAGTCTCTGCTCCCCAGGCACTCGGGCTGCTGGCCTAAGCAGACATCTGTATTGCCCTGCGAGCACCTGCTGGCCAAGGTCATGTGCTAATCAAGCTGCCAAGTTCAGAGGCAGGAGTGCTCGGTGAGCTCTGCCAGCTCGAGCAGCTCCCCTGATGGTACTGTGGTTTGAATCTAGGCTCCATCAGCTTGTAAATATGCCAGGCATTTGTGTGTGCATGCCCCAAATCCTGACAGGATGTATAAATAGAGCAGAAGGATTACAGCATGCCCACCCTCCGTTGAGGGGTGCTTTCTTCTTCCCTCTTTTTCTTTCTGTCTCTCCATCTCCCCAGTGAGCACACATGGCCTCTGACAATTTAAAACAAAAACAACAACAACAACAACAACAAAAAACTGTGGCAGAGGTATTATCATAATGCAACTTTTTCTCCCTACTAGACTACAAATTCCTTGGTTAATAAAACTAGTACTTTTTTCTTTTCTTTTGCTAGTAGTTTTGTAATCTCTGAGCACCAAGAAGTGCTCAAAGAATGTGATCTCGATATATATGGGGAAACTGCCTATTTTTTTTCCTTTACATTTATTTACTTCCTCCATGAGTGAAAGAGACAGCACCCCTATCAGGGTCTTGGCACTGCAATCCACCCCAGCCTCCACGGATGCCAGAAATGAGTAAGCACATGCAGATGTACTCAGGGAGGTCTTCAGACAGGAACTCGGCACCATCCCCTGTAGATCGCCCTCACAGAGTGTTGTGTTTTACTGCTGCACCACCACCTGGCCCTCAGCTGCCCATTTTCATCCTGCTTAATCCTGGCAGATTTAGGATTCAGAGTTCAGTGCATGGGACTTCAGCTTGGGTGCTCTGGGGGCAGAGTCACCTGCACAAGACAAGTCTCTGCTCCCCAGGCACTCGGGCTGCTGGCCTAAGCAGACATCTGTATTGCCCTGCGAGCACCTGCTGGCCAAGGTCATGTGCTAATCAAGCTGCCAAGTTCAGAGGCAGGAGTGCTCGGTGAGCTCTGCCAGCTCGAGCAGCTCCCCTGATGGTCTGATGGGCAGACAGGGCGCTGGCACATAAGGACTTAGACAAGCAGAAAAGGCAGTGGTGGGCACTGCTGGCAGGGACACTTCTTAATTAAAGGCACCAGGAAGAAACCAGATAAAGCTAATGACTGTTACACATGACGATTTCGGTGAGTTACTCACAGGAACCTGGCTCTCTGTCTAGAACTCAGTGGGCAACTTGTGTATGTTTATCATGTGAACAAAGGATGGCTGAATGGATGACAAGGTAGATGATGGGTGGATGAATGGACAGATGGATGTGTATTAATAGTAGGATGAAAGTTAAAAAACCTTAGAAATAGCCCGTTCTAACTCATTCTCTGTTCCTTAATGACTGAATAACTAAAACAGTAATTTATAAAAATAGGGGCTTCTTCGGCTCACAGTTTAGAGGTCCAAGGTCCAGGTAGAACACCTGGTGAGGGCTGCAATGCTGATGGATAGCATGGTGGAGGACATTACACGGTAAGAGAGTGGGGGCTTATGTCTGTGTCTCCTTACAAACTCATGAGCATCCTATCATGGGGGAGACCCTGATTTAATCTTCCAAATTCATAATCTTCAGATTAATGTTTTATCCTCATAAATCTATCACAACCAAATGTTAACACATGGATTTTGGAAAGATACATTCAAACCACAGCACAGGCCTTGGTTCAAGTCCTGAATCTGTCTACAATGCGAGTTGAACATGTTATGTCACCGTTCTGAGCTGAGGTCTCATAGGCCTGCACAGGTTGCTGTAATGGCTAAATAACACACAGAAAGTGCCAACCCCAATGGCTGGCACACAGTAAGTGCTCCAGAAATGAGAGCTGCAGGGGTCAAGGCACAGTGGAAGATTCAATGTTCTTCTGCCAGGCTGACCTCCCGGGAGGGTTCTGGGTTCACATCTGGAGACCTTCCTGAATACACTGGGCATACTCATGCCCATGACCTAAGGCCAGCTGAGCCACGGGGTAGATGATAATATCAAGACCTTGTTTGGAGCGTTGTCCTTCTGTCTTTCTCTATCTCTTTCTATCTCTCTAGCTCATTGAAGAAAGAAAATAAATAAACTATTTTTTAAAATTTAAAAAAGGAAATGAGAGTTGTGTCCCAGCCTTGGTGGTATGGTTAGTGGCATACTGAACTGCAATCTTGGAAGTTACATGGCTGACAGGAGTTTCCAATACCAAGTCAACCTGAAAACATGCCAGGTGCACACACATGCCCTAGATTCTGATGAGCTGGAGGGCTGCGTGGAGGGAATCACAGCTCGACAAGATCCTGTTAAGGGTATCTGTCTTCCTCTTTCTCTTTCATGTGCATGTGTGCACATACCCTCTCTTATAAATAAAACAAATACAGTTTTAAGAAAAGAAACAAACAAAAATTATTACATCTCCACTGAGCAGAAAGGAAAGGAGGGAGAGATATAATGGGAGCCAGAAATGGGATGTCTTGCTATCATTTCCCCATTTTCCCAGAAACTGAATCCTGAATTTCCTTTGGGAAACCATGTGGTTTGAGTAACGTAAGCCAATCAGTATAGTCCATTCTCTCAGAGCTCTGATTGGTTCAGGCATGTGTATGGTATTTAAATGGTCTAAGCAGAGTGAACCTCAGAACATTTGCCAGGAATGCTGTGACCCAGTCTCCTTCTTTCTCTCATTGGAGCTGGGAACAACCAAGCCTATAGCCCAGTAGTTGCTGTCGGTTACATGGGGAACACCACCTAATGATACAGCTGGGTACAAAAGGCAAGGTGGAGACAGAAAGGAATTGTAAAGCTGCTGAGTTGAGCCTTATCTGAAGTTGGTGATCCCTGGACTTTTTGTTTCTATAACTCAATTTCTTTTATGTTTAAAGTCTATATGTTATAGTTTAGATAACAGCTTGTCTCCCAGAGTTTCATGTTTTGGAATTTGGTCTCCAATGGTATTGTGATATGACTTTTTTTTTTTTTCCTAATTCATGATAGAGCACATCAAGAGAGGGGGAGCACCTTCCATCGGGTCTGGCCATGCTGTGATCCCTTCCGTCCAGCCCTCCAGCCCATCAGATTGTGAGCACTCATGCATGTGCCCAGCATGTCTCAGGCTGATTGGGCTGAGGTTTCCAGCTGTAGTTTCCATGTGAGATCCAGCTTCTCTTGAGCATACATTACCACCATGCCACAGAGTCAGGTGTAGTGAGACCTTTAAGAGGTGAGGTCTGGGACCAGCAGTTGGCATAATGGCTGTGTCACTGGACTCCTATGTAGTCGACCGTTGTTCGAGTCCTGGACTTGGTGGCTTAAACTCACACTGGGCACGTGTGCGTGCATGCCCAAGATCCCAAGAGGAGACTAGAGGAGAAGGGATTGCGGCATGGCCACCCTCCCCCAACCCCCCCCCAAGGGGGCGATTTCTCACTTTCTGTCTCTCTGTCTCTTTCTGTCTTTCTGGCAAGTGCATGTGCCCTATAAAACCTCTAAAAAAAAAAAAAAAAAAGAGGTGAGGCCTAGTGAGTGGCATTTGGATGATGAAGGTATCACTCTGGTGAATAGATTAATGCTGTTCTGTGAGGGCTAGAGTGAGGTCTAACTCTTGTGAGAAGTGACTAGTTACCATGTAAGCAGGTTGTTATTTTAAAAGATGGCCTCCCCAGGTCTCTCTGCATGGGCCCGCCAGCCTCTCCACTTCTCCTGGTCATCTTGTGACCTAGGAACAGAAGCCAGCCTCATGCTAGCCTCATGCCTTTGGACTTTCCAGCCACCAGAATGCATCTCAATCTTTAGAAACCTTCCAGTCTCGGGAATTTCTGTTACTAACACAATAATGGACGAAAACATTCTCTAAGCCGGATTTTCTGAGGCCAGCAGTCAAAAACCATCCTGATATACAAAGGAAACAAGAAAGCAAATCTACGAATGGACTAAGGAAGATGAAACGAGTGTTGGGTGGCACCAAATCATAAAAAGCTTCAAAAGCCAGAAATTGGTGTTAAATTTTAGCCATGATTTTCTATTTGACAGAGAAACAAATTTAGACCAGAAGGGTAAACTTCAAGCAACCGTCTAAGATTACATAGGTTAGTTAAGCATAGAGCTGGAAGCAGAAACCAAATCCTCCGAAATCTCAACTCAGTTCCCTTTCCCACAAAGCATGTGGATTAACATACCCCATCCAAGGGCGACAAATCCCTGGAGGCACTTCCTTTCTGAGAAGAAGGAGATGACGAGAAGTGTGTGCAGGTAGAGACCTTCCACCAGCAGCCAGGCATAGTTGGCCATGATGCAGTACTGGAAGAAAACCATGACCAGCTTACAGCCCACCTAGACAGAGAGAAGTAGGTGAGTCCAGGCTGAGGCTGGGGGCTCCCCTCCAGTGGCTAGACCCAAAAGAAGCATCAGGGTATTGTTGGGGGTCAAGAGCCAGGCCACGAGTAAGCCTCTGGGGTTCAAGACCCTCTCCTGTGGCCTCCTTCTGTCAGAAGACCAAACCACAGAATTCTGTAGAGAATGGAATTCTTGAACCAGTAGGTCCAGTCAAGATGGTAAGTGAGCCAGCAAAGAAGCAGGATCTAGATTCAATTCTGGAAGTTGCTGCAAGGCTAGATGAGAAAGACACTTCTCTCTCTCTTTTTAGAGAGAGACTTTTGCTATAGAGACAGAGAGGCAGAAAGTGAGAAATCACCCCCCCAGGGAGGATGGCCACACTGCAATCCCTTCTCCTTCATTCTCCTTTCAGGATCTTGGGCATGCCTGCACACACATCCAGCATGAGTTTTTTGTTTTATTTCAATTTATTAATTTGCATTCATTCACTTTACATCATTACAGTATACAAAATGAGATTTTCCACCCAGAGTACACTGTATATTGTCTCAATCAAGCACATCAACAAACATGTTATTGTCAGCAAATAATTTTTCATTTCTTGTTTTCTGTATGTTTTGCCTTTTTTTCCCCCATCCTTGATTCTCTATATCTTACCCTCTGCTATCTCCCACTCTCCTCCCACACTGTCTCTGGTATCTATGTTTGCTTTCTATACTGTTTTCCGCCCACATTTTATTGAATTACTAAAGACCTTAATTAATCTAAATATTTTCATAGCAAACACAGGTGATATATACATTTCCATGAACACAAGTCTAACTTTACGCATCCTATAAAGTAGCACTTAGCTGGGGCTATATCTCTTACTGCAGTCATTGAATAGATTTTTTTTTTCCTGAAACTTTTTTTTTGTAACTTTATTTAC